CGGTCACCCCCGACGACAGCTTACTACACGACAGCTTACGGTCACTCCCGACGACAGCTTACTACACGACAGCTTACGGTCACTCCCGACGACAGCTTACTACACGACAGCTTACGGTCACTCCCGACGACAGCTTACTACACGACAGCTTACGGTCACTCCCGACGACAGCTTACTACACGACAGCTTACGGTCACTCCCGACGACAGCTTACTACACGACAGCTTACGGTCACTCCCGACGACAGCTTACTACACGACAGCTTACGGTCACTCCCGACGACAGCTTACTACACGACAGCTTACGGTCACTCCCGACGACAGCTTACTACACGACAGCTTACGGTCACTCCCGACGACAGCTTACTACACGACCGATTCCTTCTACACATTTACAAAGTATTCCTGAACATTCCAGAAGCTTACAACTTATCTATTTCAATACTATTGCATCATAACAACAAAACCTAAAAAAAATTTCTAGAAAGTTCCACGGAAAGTTCATGCGTGCAAGTCAGCATGACTAAACATTCTAGAAATTTCCTTGAAACTTATTTTAGTTACTCTCGGTAACCGTGGCGTGTTTTGTTTTGTATTTTGTTTTTTGTTCTTTATGTGGTCATACTCCTGTATTTCCCCTTATTTCATGAGCCTGACATGGTCCTTGCTCTATTAATATATCTTTTGTAATTTACAATTGTCTAGCTACAACTAAGGCAGGGGAGAAGAACTTACGGTCCCCCAACTAGTGACATAAACCTTTACGAGTTTAATGCTCAACAACTCCATTCAGCCCGACCGCCAGAGGACTTTCATCGAAATTGGCCCGAAATCCCACGGGAATACCTCAAAATCGGAGATGAGCTTGGCTCTGGGGCTTTTGGTGTCGTTAAGAAAGGATTCCTAAATCGAAACAATAAAGTCATTGAATGCGCTGTAAAGATGTTGAAAAGTAAGTACTATGTTAAGTCTACAATATAGGGCTTTTTTTAAATATCAGAATTTGACAACTGCGTGAACAATAAAACGACAGATAGTAAGAGTCGAATTTCTAACGTTACTAGATAAACTAATCCTTTCATTGATGTTTTTCTTTGTTCATATTACTTGTCTGCTTGATATTGCATTGACACTTTGAGGAGAAAATTTTGTCTCGGTCACTCATGGGAGTTTTTTTTTTTTTTCTTTTTTTTTTTTTTTTTTTTTTTTTTTTTTTTTCTTTTTTTTTTTTTTGCCAGAACATGGTACTGAATTAGAGTTACGAGATTTGTTTAACGAGCTGAACATTATGGCTTCTGTCGGAAATCATCCGAATGTGGTCAGCTTGATTGGAGCATGCTCGGACGATGGTGAGAATCTTTGCTTTACAAAATTAGATCGAAATTGTATTGATTCCTTTGAGTGAGGTATGACAATCTGCTTCAAAAAATTTCCTTTGTTTCATTTCACGTTTGCTTACTGAAACATCCGCGACCTGCTGGACTGGAGATGGTTTCAATTAGACATTTTCTGATACCTTCTCGTTATCACGCGTCAAGGATTTAGTGTGGTATACTCCAGGAGGAGTTATACAACAAGCTGAAATAAGTATGAGAGTGATCCTCGCAGTAATGACCACGGGCTCGTTATCCAAGTTGGTAGAGCATTGCACCGGTATCGCAGAGGTCATGGGTTCGAATCCCGTACAGGCCTGAATTTTTTTCAGGCCTTACTTTCACTACTGCTTAAGGAGTGGTCATCACTGCTAAGATCGGTCTCATACTTATGTCTTCAACTGCGGTTCAGATATTTGATTTCCATATATTCACAAACGTTGACAATAAGCTGATACATACATACATACATCCTTTATTTGGTAAAGCAGGTTGAAAAAATGGCAGCTAATGCTGATGTGAACCTGCTATCTACTAATAAACAGCTAAAAATATATACGTCTCCTAGTATGAATAATCATACGTATCAATAATACATTATATATACGGGTAGGGTAAGTAAGTAAATATATATATATATATATATATATAACTAACTGCAGACAGTACTGTTTCGGCCTTCTGGGCCTCATCATATTAGTACCAGTCAAATTAACTTAAACAATGCATTTAAAGGAAAATAAATACAAAGATAAGATTTAAATTAACAAATTTTAATATATTTATGTATGCATTTTGATTGGCTCTTGCATATGATCTATTGGAGGCCAGACGGATACATGATGTTCGTCACCATTAACAAAATTTTGTTAAAGGTTTTTCTTTTACTTTATGAAACAAATAAATATCATGTTGCCGCGGGTCTGTGCCGCACTAGATCACAGAAGACGTCCAATGTAGGAAAGACGTCGAATGTAGGGAGAACATCAGTGACAAACTCGGCTGCGCTTGGCTGCGTTCGGCTGCGCTTCGTGTGCCTCTTTTCTTGTTCTCACCGCGATCTTCGATCTTTTTCTGAACAGATACACGGCAACTTAGAAACTGTTTGTCAAGTTATGCTCCCATCAACACTTGTAGGCAAATGATAGGCCAAAGTGCTTGAATTGAGCAAGTAGATTTCACAATAATGCTCGTAGAACGACGACATTTCGGTGTACATACCAGGGAAAAGAGCAACGTGACGCTATTTTGATGCTTCCTGACGCCGCGATCCTGACATCTGGCAGTAGTTTTCAATATAAGAAAGCAGAGAGAGAGAGAGAGAGAGAGAGAGAGAGAGAGAGAGAGAGAGAGAGAGAGAGAGAGAAAGAGAAAGAAAGAGAGTGTGTGTGTGTGTTTGTGTGAAAGAAGCCTCTCTAAGCCCATAAAAAACCGTTGGGCGGTGCCTTTTTTTGCTAGGGGTAAACTTAACCCTCAAATGCGCAAGTCGGGATGTCTTTGTTTCTTCCCCAGGTCCTTTGTGGGTCGTGGTTAAATTTGCTGAAAACGGCTGCTTGCTGGATTACCTTCGGAAGCATAGAGAAGAGAACTACAAAAACTCTGATTACGTCAACGTAGAAAAAAAGGATAGTGAGCAGGTGGAGTCCAAGGAAATAACCGATCTTGAGAAAATTCGCTTCGCGCACGGCATTGCAAAGGGAATGAATCACTTGGCAACAATGAAGGTAGGAAACGACCATGATAAAATTCATAAGCGTTTCATTCGAGTCACAAAGTTTTCATCTGTTGGTAATTTATTGGTGTATTTGTTAAAGCCTTTTTAAGAGGGGAAGGCGAATTAAAGAGTGGTCGGGCAATTTCTCTTTTCGCAACCCCTCATATCAATCTATTTTATATCTATTATAAAATTCTGCCATAGGAACGACAGCGCAAAATTCGAGGCGAGAAAACACGCAAATAGATATGACGCCACCATGGATACCTAGCGATGAATGTTTAGTTTCCCCAAACACCACGGGTTTGTCCTCAATGTAACTTTTTCGTGTCAACCGTTTTGAAAAACTGAGGAGAGACAGAAGCGGCTGTCGAAACTACGATAATAGATATCACCCTTCGTAAAACACGGTAAAGGCGTCCTAGCTTCAAAACCAAATCTTGACAAGACAGAAATTCGTTTGATCCTGTTGGTCTTTGAGGATTTCTCTTTCCACATTTTCTGATAACAAAAATTCCATCTTCCAGGGGCTCCAATGGATATAAAACTCAAAAATATTCATTGATAAAAATGCCCATTGAATTGTTTCTTCAGTGTGTACATCGGGACCTTGCTTGCAGAAACGTACTTTTAGGGAAAAACCGCATTCCAATGGTGGCTGACTTCGGACTCGCTCGTGATATCTACGAAAGTGGGGCGTACGAAACTACAAGCGGGGTAAGACTTGTAGTTCTTTCATTTCGAAATATGGCGTTCATGCATCTCACTTAGTAAAGTTCCGTTGTCTCATCGTGCAGTCGTGTTTTACAATATCTGATAAAGGTGTATGAATTGATGAACTGTTTTGATCTGCAGACCTTGGCATTTTTAACTGTTGTGAGATTTCCTTTAATAGAGGTATTCTGTGTCCTTAAAGAGTTTTATATAGCTTTTTTTTTTTTTCAAAATTATCTTTTACCTAATGCAGGGTAAACTCCCGGTCCGTTGGATGGCTTTGGAATCACTGCAGGAATACTCCTTTACTTCCGAAAGTGACGTGTTAGTGTTTTATTGCTGAAAACTTTCCAGACTGCTTCCTCTTCTTCAGAGGTAAAACTCCGTCGGTTCAGTTGGTTACAAGCTAGGCACAAACCCCAAGAGGGTATCAAGCGTCAAAATTTCGCAGTACGATATTTTACCACATAGCTAGAGTTAAGGTAGTGGTAAGCTGAGTCGTATTTCATGTAGCACTTCAAAATGTAACACTGAAGATCTGTGCGCAGAGCTGTGATCGACAATAATTTCGAAACTGTCGTGCTTGTGTAAACCAATAACGACGTTTGGTTATCTATTTATTTTGTGTTCTTTTTTACATCAGATGGGCGTACGGCGTTACTTTGTGGGAGGTAGAAACTGGTGGTGAGTTGCACTGGCCCTTTTTTCTGTTTAATATTTTATCCGTTTTTCATCCGTCAATCACTCCTATTATTACAGACCGAATTGGACAAAACTCGGTCCTATCGCCATTATTTATTGTTGGATTGACTTTCTAAGTTTGTTTGTTTTCTGTTATTTCTTTTTGTTTTGTTTTGTTTTTGTTTCTGTTTTTGTTTTTTTTTTTCGCTAATATGTCTCAAATCTACTCCCAGTCCCTATAAAAGCACATCAAAATAAATCAAGAGTACCCTCTATTGTTTGCCTTTGTTTCTTTTAAAGCCAATGTCCCGTATGCTGGTCTGGGTGGACTGGAAATTGTTGACGCCTTAAGGAGGGGTGAACGGTTGCCAAGACCTGAGGGATGCACTGACAAAATGTACGTAAAATAAGTGTGACGGATTCTGCCATTTTCTTTTAACTCGCTCGCACACAAACCGGAACGGTTGCTAGACCTAAATCGATGAAATAAGTTTAGGACGTACGGATGTCACCATTAGTGGTGACCGCTGGATGTTCAGGCTCATTAGCCTTGCAGTACGCGCGGCTAAGCCAGCCAGAATCAAGCAGGTGCGTGAAACGAGCGTGAGATCAGTCTGTGGGGAGTCTGGCACTAAACTTGAGTATAAGACTTCCTTAGACCCCCTAGACGTCTCATGCGCACGCATCTATCGCCGGCTCGAATCCCGCGTACTTCACAGTTTCATTCCCAGTGCCATTGAGAGCCTAGTAGCAGGTTCCTGGCCGGCTGGCTGGCTGGCTGACTGACTGAGTAGTTCAACATTTCTGAGACGGATGTTTTCATTTTAATGGACTTTTTTCAATACATGGGAACAGCAAACGGGAGTTATGGACTCTGAATTTGTTTACGATTCCTGTAATCGTTGAATCCTAGTGGTAGGAAAATCAAAAAGATCTACTTTTATAAAAGGAATTTTGTAAAAGTTCAGTTTCTTCCGATAGTTATCAACCACTTGATGCGACTGAACACGAGTAAGTTATTAGTGACCTTAAGCAAACCTATGTACCACATTACCATGATGGGCAGTAAGTAAGTAAGTAAGTTAAGCAAACCACGACTGCAACGGCAATGAAGACGTAGCGAAACAAAGGATCTAATTGGTAATACCTCGGCACGCGCATTTTAAAACTTTGTGCATTTCTTAGCCGTCTCCTGCCAAACAACAGGGAGCTTTAGCAACGACGACGGCTACGGCAAAGAGAACGGCAGAAAATAATAGGCTTAATGAGCAAAAACAATCGCCCTGCACGTGCGTTTAACATTTTGGAACATTTCTTTGCCGTTCTCGGCAAAACAACAACGTGAAATAACCAAACTTTAGGTTTTCTCGAGAACGTGAGCGCATGACGGTTGATTTTTCTTTCTTTCTCCTTACTTTAACGCCGTTCGTAATGATATAGTTCCTGAATAGTTCGCCAGCATTTTCCAAGTGAAACACATCGGAATAACCTCGACAGAGTTACAAAAACGAAAAGTTAGATTTCGACACGACGTTTTCGTTGCCGTCGCCGTCGTCGTTGCTAAAGCTCCCTAACAACGTGAGGTGTGGCGCCGCTAGACACAGTAAACACATCCAGCTATTCAGGAAATTCTAACTGTAAATTCAAATTAATCTTTTAATCGACGTTTTCTTAGCTGTTTCCGTCCTGACTGCTAAATGTCTCTATTAGGTACAATGTGAGGCCGCACTCGTCACCTCTTTTCTGATTGTCACCTATAATCGGACAAAAATCAATCCCTGTTTATTGCTTTTTGTGTCATTTTAAAACGTGTTGAGCTCATTTTAATCGCTTTTCAGGTTTGAAATCATGATAGGTTGCTGGCACGCTGACCCAAAGAAAAGGCCAACTTTCGAAGATATTGTAAAGCTCACCGAAAGTTTCTTACTGGAGGACTCTGTAAGTCGTAATTTCAAAGTATCTTACCTATCAAATCGTGTGTTCTGTTGTTAGCCACAGTCGATGCACCGATAGTCGATCGATACGACGGCCAATTTTCCCAGACATGCGATTTGATTGTCGACCGATTGTTGACCAATAGTCGGCCGATGGGTGATCGAGACTTTACCGATGATCTAACGATGTCTTGGCTGACTAGTGACTGATTTATCGATTGACTATCGATAGAGATATCAATTGACAATCGGTCTAGATATCGATCGAGGTTACTATGGCCAATGGCCTACCGATAGTGCACATGACCGCACCCAATTTAGGTGGCATGGTAATCGCCTTGGCCATCTTTACTTAATTTGTGAGCAACTTTACAAGTAAAAATTTTGACACTGATTCTGAACTAACTTCACTAATAGCAAAAAAGTTGCAGCGGCACGCTTGCTGGTGAATTCTTATGAGCAGTTACTCCATTTCAATATTTACGCTGTTTCATTGATTTTTGGTGATTAACAGTAACTGATTGGCATTGAAGCTATAAGTTAGCGTTTATTTGCGGCCAATCTTGCCCGCTCGGGTAGCCAATCAGAACACAGGATTCGCTTATCTAGCTCGCGGGCGCTGCCACCCATATTGTAGTACAGCTTATCGCCCTACTCCTTTTCAAAGTTTCCTTGTAAGTTCACGACTTTAACGTTTCCATGACTCCCAATGGAAGTCCACTTGTGTACTTTTCATTTGTTGGTTTTTGGTTGTTTCTGCTGTTTTCGTTCGTTGGTAGTACATTGCCTGTTCAACACTATAGCCTCGTACCCAGGCCTTTCACGGCCAATAGGTTGTAAGGTTCTTACATTTCAGTTAGTTACACGGTTTGTACTGGGCACGAGATTAGTTTAACAGCTTGTTGCCTATTGATCTTCTGCCGTAGGACTACTTGGAGCTAGGAGACGAAACAGCAGAGGAAGGAGAAGAAGGAGAGGATACTCCGTATGACGAGGTCCGCTTCAGTCGAATACCAGAACAGTTTTTGTCCGATTATGAAATAGAAACAGAGGATTCACGACCAGTCCTTAAGCCCGCGAGTCCAGCCCAGCCTGACGGACAGCTTGCTGAGCATGATGGTCAGGAAAAAAAGGATGAAGGAGAAGGGGATAATAATACACATTTTTAATCTAATCATGTAACTTGGTCTCCAGCTATCACTTTGGGGTGCACGTGGTTAACCACCCAACTTCCTGGACTCATTATCACGTTAGTTCCTCACGCAGTAGGAATACATTATCCAGTAAGCAGTTTGCAAGAATTGAAAAACTAGTCCGCTCAGTACTAGATGAAACTTGATAAAATACGTTATTCTCCTAACAGATCTCTTAAGGAAGTCTGTAACAACTAGGAGAGAGAACTAACGACTAGATCGAGGAAGGTTAAGGCTAAGAGATATCGTCATATGACCAGCAAGGCCCATATGCGCTTCATGTGAAAACATAATACAAAAATCCCCGTATTAGGGTCGAAGGTGATGGCGCAAGCAAGGCCTGGGAGAGGCTGCAGATCTTGCGTTTGGCTCAGCGAGATGCAAGTTTTAAGAGTACACATCAAGGGGAAGATACAGAGGTTATATGATAAAATGCTTATTAACTGAGTTAGGTTGGGCCCGAGCGGAAAAATTTTTCTTTTTCGAAGACACGATTTGTTGTTTTGAAAATATGGGCTCATATAATGACCTCCTCTCACGCTCTTGTAACATCGGATGCTGTCATCGACAATACTCCATTTTGAGGATTACTCTCACACGGACGATCAAACCATTGCTATTAACGAGAGAGAAATTAACAGATCACGATCGATGTTCGCGAAATTTTGGTAAAATATTCTTTGGCCTTGTCAATTTTATGATGCTGCACAATTAGTTTGTAAAAAAAGTGGTTACAATACTATTACTTTGCAATAATCCTATTATTTCTACAACGGATTCTCAATCTCCCCTTTTGAGAATGAATTAAAACTTTTATTAACTCCACTAGTTGTCAGAATGAACCTTCGTGGGNGAATTATTGAACTGACGTGGGTTCCTCTTATGGAAGATAACTAGTCCCCCCAATTAAATTTTTTACATTTTAAAGTTTTTCCTTCGCTTGTAAATTAGTGGGAACATATACAATATGTATTTTTGCTAGTTCTCGCAATCAACCTCCGTCGGCGAACCAATCGGATCCTTTAACTAAGAAATACTGAACTGACGTGGGTTTTTCTTATCGAAGAAAACTGGACTCCGAAAGTACAATTTTTAAGTGTTTCCCTAGCTTATAATTTAGTGGGGACATGTGCATTGTGTTTTCTCCTTCGTTATACCAGATGACAGCTATTTCCCGACTGTCTGTGCCCTTGAAGTGAGAGGAGCGTATCCGACATGGCAAATCTGAGGATTAATGCTGTTAAAAAAATGGAAGATAGAAAAGCTACAATTTCCCGAGAGAAATTAGTATGACATTTCTATAACATATGATTAATTTTTCTCGTTGGTCAAGATGTTCAGTTCTACTTTAAATGCAAATCATGAGTTTTTCTCGGCAGGTGCAAACGCTATTGTAGCTTTTACGTAAAGACTGCTCGATGGTGGTAGGAAATGAAGAAGATAAGAAGATTCGCTTTCATTTTTGTTGGTTTTACTTAGTTGACACAAGATGTCGTTGTCCTTTGTCCAAACTGCCGAAATAACTCCCGAGGTCGTCTCTAATTGTTTTAAAGAAGTAGTTTACGTGTTCTTGTTTTGGTTCCTCCTCAAGTTTTGTTTGCCGATCTACTTTTAAGGTAGCTGTCAAAATTAATTGTTTTCATTAACTATTAAACTAAGGATAGACGTAGCCTAGAGAGGCGACAACAAAGAAGGAAGAGTTTTAAAACTAACGTAAGTACCTATCTAGCGCAAAATTGTTGTTATTGCAAAGGGAAGGCGGTTGTGAAAATTAACAGTTGTTTTGGCCATTTGCTTGACGGATAGAATTACCATAAATCCAGATCGCTCAGCTCGACTTAAAGTGCTAAATTAAATTAGTTCTCATTCATTTATTATCATCTTCGTTGATTTGCTTTCCTTTGCAATGGCAGTCCTTTAAAAAAATTTTACTCACAAATGAACCAACATCTGAAGGTTGCGTCAAAAAGGGACATAGTGCCATTTATGTTCTTTTTAGTTAGAGGCAAATCTGTCTTGGTTAACGTCGCTCGCTGAGTAAATACGAAAAATTCGCCGTCTATCAGATTTAAAATATTTACAGTCTATATTTGCGTGGTGACGATCAAATTGACGAAGAGGTGAAGTGAGCCATGAAGCCGTAAGCCATTTTTTAATTAGAGCTTCAAGGCTATCTACATTACATCGGCAATTTGTAATGACGCTTCTGTCAAAGTGACCCTTTTGTCATCTCGATTTCCATTTACAAGAGGACATGCTGTCAAAGTGTCAGAAAGCTTCTCGTCGGCACCTGCGTTCTGGATATCCAGAGAAAGGCAAACTGTAAATTTTGAATCAATATAGACCTGCTGCAGTTGTGTGCAAGAGTGCAAAGATATATAAGCAGGTTGGCTGGAATGATAGTGGAAAGTTTTGCTTCAAAGTTTAGTTGAAGAACAGCGTTCACCCCAACAATTATGCCTTTCACATAAGCTACCTTTTAGCAGAAGAAACGCTAACTGGTAACTAAACTTAAAATCAAAACGATAATTTGCACTCACTAAGACTGAATCTTCGTCTTCACGAGACAGGTTGCAACATTGACATTTTCACTTTGGCTGACCGAAGCACCGACAAAATCCAAAAACTGTAATCGTTCAGTTGTTGTGGGTCAAAAGCATGAGCACCTCATACAGAATCAACAACATGCAAAATGACACAAGTTCCAAAATGGCTGATCTTGGCCCAGCAGTTACAATCGCCGAAACCAGCGTTTGTCTACTCATGAACTTCATATCGCTAAACGGGAATCTTTTAGTGTGTTTAGCTGTTTATAAAAACCCTCGCTTGCGAACCACGACTAACATCTACATTATCGGATTGGCACTAACCGACTTGCTTTCAGCCATGTTCGTGATGCCGTTTACTGCTGGCGTCCTCGTAACAAGAAAATGGCCGTTTGGAAATTTCTACTGCAACATACAAGCGTTTCTAGTCAATTTTGGACTATTTACTTCCACTTCAATCATGGCACTCACAGCCTTCAACAGATACATGAGAATTGTCCATACAAACAGATACAATACTTTATTTTCGAGATTTAAATCTCGCATATTACTGGGGACGTTTTGTATCATTATAGCCTCGTATATCGCCATACCAGGCTTGACTGGATTGCAAAATTTTGAATTTGTTCCCGAGTATGCCACCTGCCATGTGACTCACGCGAGTGAGGAAGGCATGATAGTTCATTATTGCATCGTTGTATTCTTCTTTCTTGTTTTTCCATTCAGTTTGGCGACATTCTGTTACGTCAAGGTGTTTAGGACCATTAAGAACCACAATCTCGAAGTAGCCCCAAATTTACAGTCGAGAATTCGCGACGCTCACATCACCACCCAAGAGATCAAAATTTCAAAATCTCTGTTCGTGGTGGTGTTAGGATTCGGGATGTGTTGGATACCCGCATGGATTCTCGCTTTGATCATGCGCTTTAGTGCTTTTCCATCTTTGCCCAGAGAATTTTTTCTAATTCACACTGCACTAGTCTTCCTAAGCAGCTCTACTAATGTATTCATTTATGCTGGAATGAACAACTCGTTCAAAGCAGAATTTCGACGTTTGCTGTCTTGTGAAATTCGCGCCAAGTTATCTGCCAAGGTTTCTCCGAATTTTACTGGCCGTAGACCGATCGACCAAGGACTACGGCGAAAATTCAGTAGATAAACCTGTATTTGGGATTTAGTCAGATGGATGGGGATCATTCACTTTTAAGAAGGCTAGAAATTTCAGAAAAAAAATTAAGCCGAGACATTAGCCAAACAGATGATATCTCCAGCTATTCTGTATTCAAATGTTGGTAGAGACTAAGATGTCATGCTAATGCATTGACGCAACTGGAGCCCTTGGGGTCTATTTGCACAGTCAAATGAGAAAAGCCCCCTGCAATCATTTTATTTTCAGAGATCAATATATTAAGATCTTTCACAAGTCTTTTAGAAATATGTCAAACTTATCGTTAAAATTGTAAAACGAAAAACCTGAAATTAAAAGAACCTCACTGGACTTCGTTTCTAGCTCGCCTCGTTCTCAGTTTTTTNCAGGTGGCTTGTTAGCTCAATTGGTAAAGCGCTGCACTAGTATCGCAGAGGTCAGTGGTTCGAATCCCGTACAGGCCTGATTTTTTTCAGGTCTGATTTTCGCTATTACATAGATAGCGCTCTCTACCGCGAGGATCGTGCATCATACGTATCTAATACTGCAGTTCAAAATATATGAACTTCATATATTCATTCTATGTGACTGATAAGTTAGTAAAAAACTTGCACCATCTCTAAACTCAAACAAAAACCGATGCATAGTGCTTTCCCTGGCGTTTGCCACAATCAATTTATTTGGCATTAACTCTAGTCTAATTCTAAAACTGAAAACTTTTTCCCAGAGAAAAAGGCAGATGAATTTGCCTTTCCCTCGCATTTCGCTTGTAAACACCCGTGTACTAAGGTTCTCCAAATCTTTTTGTTAAGGGGGAGCTATTTTTCGAACTAATATGTAACCCAGATATGAGTATCTTTCAGATACTGTGTAAATAAGTGCAGTCCAGTGGACCAAGCGATCGAGACTAATATCTCGACGCGTTGATATATTTACCTTGGCCTGTTGTAAGTGCATTAAAGGAAAAAGAAATGAACACTTAAAAGATGACCAGATTGAACCTAAAACTAAATGAAATATTCATTTCTCTTGAACTAAAAGAAGAGACATTCGAACAATCAGATGAAATATTGTCGAACAGATCGATGGCCGTGTTGAAGTCATTTTAGTACTCTTTCAAAACTGAACTGACTATTCCAAAACTCCTCAGGTTTCTTTCCGAAAATAAAGAGCAATATCAGGCGTTGAATTCGTAAATGCTTTCCTTACAACCAGGGGGATCTTAAATTCGTACCTTATATCCAGGGAATTTCTATCTGTACCTCTTTATTATCGCTC